TAATGCTATTTTTCAGTGTAACTCTCTAGGAAATGATATAAAATTGGGCTTTTTTAATATTAGCAGTTGATCAAAAACTTATACAAAATTTCAACCAAATGGTATGAAGAGAAAGTTTTTACTAGTAGTTTCTGTTTCCTAGTCTCTGTCTCCCCCTTGTTCAAACTGGCATTTCGTGAGTGTGATTTGAGCTTTCATCAATTTATTGCAAAACAAACTTATTGGAAAATTTTTTGAAAAGTCATTTCATCATGCTATTCGTTTTCTTCTAAAATAAAATACAGAAATGTGGTATGATTTCCAATAAGACAACTACCAACAAGATACCAAATGACGTAGATTTAAGCAATTGTAGGTCACCTGCATATGGGATATGCAATTCCAAACTCATTCTGTATTTAAGAGTTTGCAGCTCTACTCAGACTTTATCAAACGTCACCAGTCTGAGCAGAGGGTTGATTAACAAGGCCTATGTCAAAGAACGTCTCGTCTTTTTTCCAAAAAAAATTTGTCGGAAGATACCGAGACCTTGTTGATAAACATTCTTTATCAATTTCACAAATAATACACGATGGTCTTGAAGTGTAGATTATTAGTACTGACGTTGTTTTTCATCTTCATTACGTGTTAGAGTGTTCTTTTTATTTGTCTTTGTGAATGTTTCATCCATTTTTTGAAATATAAGTTTGGCGTGAGTCGGTATTTATACATCACGCCATAATCTTATTGTGCTATAGTAATTTTTTGTATTCTTGTCTTTCATTTTTGCTATGTACTTCGTTTATGGAATGTCTATATAGAAATAAGAAGATGTGGTATGAGTGCCAACTCTTTATCCAAGTGACAATATGTAAAAAGTAGACAAATATAGGTTAAACCTATAAAGGTACGGCTTCGACACCGAACAGCAAGCTATAAAGGGCCCATAATGACTAGTGTAAAACAATTCAAACAGGAAAAGCAACGGTCTAATCTATATAAAAAACGAGAAACGAGAAACACTTATGAACCACATTTACAAACGACAACCACTGAACAACAGGTTCCTGATTTAGGACAGATGCAAACAAATGCAGCGGGTTTCAACGTTTTAACAGGCGCCAACCTTCACCCTAATCTGAAATAGTAGTTTGCCATTTTTTGTTGTTCATGTTGTTGACATCGATATTTGTTTTAAGTGTTAGATTATATCACTATGGTGACTGCTGTACCATACTTTTTTTTACATTTTTACCAACACATTGTGGTCAATATAATGGAATTATATGCGACTGTCATACAAGTGGTTCTAAATTGTGTTGTATTGGACTTTGATTTTGATATCTTGTAGGGGACCTTCTGCTGATTACAGTCTTCCGTAATATTTTTTTTTATCACAGGTCTATGCGCCACTGATACATTCGGGACTGTCTCTCTCATTGAAACTAGTGCATTTTGTAAATTCCTTTGCGTAGATACTGGAGTTGCAGTGTTTTGACTTTTGAGGTCTTTGTACATCAAAGGCCAATGATGGTGTACGTGGTCTTGTGTTAATGGCAACTGATCAAGTAATCTCGTTTTGCTGTTTTCTGGATTTCTTGGCTGGTCCAGGCTGCTGAGATGTCTTTCATGAAGGATTACGATGTATGTTCGGTGGTCATATTATAAAGAATTTTTTTTACAATTTTGAAACTTTCAACTTATCTGCAAGGGCGACCAGATCAATGCAAGGATAAAATGTCACGTGATATTAGTGGGAGAAAAAAAATCCGGACCTGAATGATGCCAGTAATATCTACTGAAAATAAGAACATATTGAATCTATTTCATTAACATGGTTTATCTTATAAATGAGATGATATTAGTTACATAGTGTGCTAGTGACCTAATACGATATATAGAGGGTCAATAAATTCCATATGGGGTGAAAGCGAAGCTCGAATCCCAATGTGGAATTTACTAACCCCATATACATCGTATTAGATAACTAGCACACTGTGTAACGGATTTATCTTACCGACTATCTTAGCATGTGGTATTTAGACTAGTGGCCTATTAAAGTGACCAAGTCTTCAATACTTAGTATTAAGAACCTACATCCGTTGGTCTTTACAAATACAAATCCCAACAATAACAACTTGTTAGCTTTAAATGTGTTTTATGAGTTTATTTCAATCGTTCATCATCAATTTCTTCGTCTGTTAAAACCTTTCAGATTTTTCCTCAATACCGTGTTGTTTTTACAAAGGGACGTAACACCACTACTTACCGTTATTGAAATAAACCACGCCTACTAACCCCATATGAAATATACACGGTCTCCAAGCGGTTGCTTTTAAACAATCATATTCCTAGAAATGTATAGGAGGTAAGATAAACTGTTATATTAGGCAGTCTTACATGTATCTGTCGTATCCTTTATTTCAAGTCCAATCGGATAGATTGGTTCAACGTAGTCTTTACAAATTGAATCATCCATAGAAAAGACATTATCTGCATAGAGAAACGTATATAATAGGATAATTCTAACTTTTTTCACTCTTTCCTATAAAAATTATTGTGGACGTTAAAATTTTTAATGAGTGGACGAAAGAGCGAGAGTAGTTATTGCGATTACAGATAATTCATCAAAGATGTAATACTGCCTCATTTAAAAAGCGAGTTTTTATTTTTTTCCCATTCCATCGCAACCTTAGTAATAAAAAAAATCATTGCAAACATTTCTGAGTTAACAGTATGTCTGTGATACGCGAAAAAACTTAAAAAAAGAATGAAGCGGTTTGATGTAAATGATCCTAATAACAATACATTTCTCTTTATAAACTTTTCAACCAGTGTGACCATTCCATTGTTTCTATTGAAGTTAAGTTTATAATAAAAATCGATCTTTCATCATATAATCCCACATTGAGTTCAGTGAATTGTTAAGAAAGAGAGGATTTTGGGATTCAAGAATTGGGAACAAAACTTTTTGAGACAAAAAAGCCCTTGAATATTTTATAATCTCTTAATGACAAATATGTTATTGGTCAAGCAGACAAAGTCTCAACTTATCATTTGCAATTCAAGTATCATTATTAGATATGTATAACCACAACACTTAGAATTCAAAGCAAACATGGGGATAAAAAAACACCTCAATTCATTTATGAAAGGGGAGATTTAAAAAAATGAAAAATCCGTCAACCTCTCAAATTAGGAATATGACAGTTGTTTTCCATTCATTTGATGTGTTTGAGCTTTTGATTTAGCCATTTTATAAGGGACCTTCCGTTTTTAATTTTCCCATGAGTTCGGTATTTTTGTTTTTTTTTACTTTTTTTTATATTAACACAAAAACACAAAAAAAGGTTCCTGTAATAAAAGTCTTGAAAAATAATACTTTGTATATGAACCACTCTGATTACTTCAACAATTACAGACAACATAATTTCTTTGTTTGGTCGATAAATTTTTCAACAGATAGCCGGTATTTAATTGAGTACTACTTGTGTACCCCACTGGATGACTATTTTCATCCTTTACAATGGTTAAAAGCAACACGTGAAGTATTTTATATGTTGTTCAACTTGATCTTACTCGTAATTTGGTTTTATTTGTATCATGCAACAATTTCCATTTTCATTTTGTTTTGTTTTTTTTGTTACCAAATTTACTGTTTTTTACAAGGAAAATACAAATGTTAATGTTTCTATTGATGGATTATTTAATCAATACTTACTAGTGACATATTGATATTGAAGGGAAACTGATTTTATGTTGATGGTGAACATTAACATCTTTATACTGTTTCGAATCAACCGTTGGTAAAGTGCAGTAACTGACGTAAAATCCACATTACATTTTGTATGTTTTTCATGTACATATCTGATTTTACAACTTGTAAATATTTTATTGTATTTGGTTTACTATTGAAAGTTGACCTTGGATGGATGTGACTATTTTTTAATGTCTTTCGTGGTAATATTTAATTTAATGTTTTCGAGAGAAAGGATATTTTTTTGGCAGATAATAAATCGTGTAATCTAAGTGAATTTTGTGGGTTCAAGTCCTTTATGCAACACCGGAATAAATTTCCATATTGACATGTTCGTTCTCTATCTACAATAATACTTTAATTCCAATGAATTTTGTGAGATCACGATTATGCATGCTATATTTTTGGTTGACTGGTTAACATCGATACCTCATCGATAAATAAAAATTAAAACTGCAGAATGGCTTCCTAGGGTTGCCAAGGTTTCATAATGGACCCTATAGATTTTTCAGCTAAAACCATTTGTAAATTAAAAATCCCATATTTTTAAAATATCATTTTAATATGATGTTCTTTTTTCGCTTTGGAAACAAAGCCATGTTCTTATTGTAATAGAACATTGTCTGCACGTGATTGACGTAACAATTAAAATTTCAACGTCAGTTGTATTTTTAACAACGCCGGAGAACAAAATGGACATTTGTGTTGGTGTTGCTCACTAGGAAATTAAATAAAATCTTCTCAAAGTAAGTTTATATGTATCTGATCATTTTTTTTTATCGTGAAACAGTTGAAATCTATATCGTTTTGGCTTCAATATATCAAATTGGCTGCGTTTCGAACGTGTATTATAGAACCGCTTCGAAGTACAAAAATTCTAAATTTTCTTATTAGAGTCGAAATAGTTCTATCATGCCATGATATATGCTCATTTTAACATGGTTAGGCATTATATTTGTCAACAGTTTACACCTCTTTTAAGCTCGGTATAAAGATATTGACAAAAATAATGCCTACCCGTTTTTAAATGAGCATACAGCATGGCATGAACGAATAATTTCTTAAATATAAGGAGTTGATACAGACAATAAACTTATATTCGTCATAAATATAGTAATTTTAAGAAAATATTGGTTCGTCAAGATCATTTATTTCGTATATTTGTAAAAAAAATGCATTTTATTAACTATTGAATAGTCCACAAACACTAATAAAATTGAGAATGGAAATGGAGAATGTGTCAAAGAGACAACAACCCGACCATACACTGGCAAAAATGCCACACATGTGTACATGCGTGACACATGCGTTTCACATGCGTGTCACACGCATGTGAAAGAGACGTTTCATGCCACGCATGTGACACATGTGTGAAAAACACATGTGATACGCATGATACACACATGTGATCATGCGTTTCACATGTGAATTACATGCGTAAGGAAATACACCTGTGATACATGCGTGATTACTACATGTAAAAGGCATGGTGCCTGTATTAAATATTTTTCAAAATGTCCTCCTATTTGTCCAATTACCATGATTATTGACATGTATCTCAGTTCTCATGTGAATTACATGCAATTTCTCACACATGCGTTATACATGTGTTTTCTCTATATATACACAGGCAAATTTTGTTCACGTAAATTTCATGTAAGATTCACCTCAAACAAGCTTATACATAAAACTCTCGTGCAATTAATGTTAAATTTTTCATGTGAAACTAACGTGAATCAAGCTTTCATGTTAATTTTTTTAAAATGAAATTAAGGTGAATTGAGCATCAATCACACAAATTCACAGTATTTGAGCATATTTTAGATCAGTTAATGCTAATCTAGTACACATTCTATTTTGATATATATAAATATTCTTCTTGGTCTTGATTATGTGTTCATACTTCCATTATATTTTACTTTCTTGATCCTAAACAATACAAAAAATATTTATCTATCAACTCCCAACTCACAATATCTCCAATGCAAGAGATAAGATGCAATAAAACAAAGAAGGCAAGCAAATATCCAGGTCACCTTAGTTCATTCCTAGAATTTTTTCGGTTATGTTCAAGTCTCAATACTTTTTTTAAAAGTGATGTAAGGATTGGTGATTCATTTATAGAATATGTATGCACTGACGTATATTTCATTTTTAATATGTATGTACAAGTCATTTTGTGGTTATCAGTCATCAGACAATCCAATCACGTTATGGAAATTGTCTTACTTGCAAAAGATGCAATTTTTTCTTTTGAAAGTTTTGAAGAAAAAAAGTAGTTCACCCTGCCACATATTCATGTGCCTGTTTCAAGCCAGGAACCTTTTCAGTGGTTGTCTAAAGTCGCATCCTAATAAAAAAAAATATTTAAAGAATTTGGTGTTGATGGCAGCTCTTTGATTGGTATAGACTCTGGTTAATTAAGTAGATCATGACATTGTTTAGACACCTGTTCATTGGTAAGGACTGTATGTTAGCACCTTAATGCCTTTCATGTGTTTTTGTTGTATAGCTGTCTGATTTATTTATACCTCATATCTCATTGTATTAATAAACTGAAATAGAACGTTCTGTGAAATATATTTTGATATACCCTATTGAAAGTCTTGCTGTTATTTACAACCATTTCCTTCTTATTTCATATATGTATTTCAGTTTTTCATTTTAACACCAATCTTAAGGTTAAGGCAAAAAGAAAACAAATGTTGACAAACAACAGGCATATACCATTAGAAGATCTCAAAGTTTGGCTGCACAATAAACTAAAAATTCTTGTTATTTCAAATATTTATATAAAATTCAGTTTTAAAACATGTATTTTCCATTTTTAGACTGTAATTGTCATGTTGGCACAATAATTTGAATTTGAATTGTATTATATTCTGAGAGTACTTGTGGTTGAAAATATATATAATTCCATGTGTTTTAGATTTCTTGAATACACCACTCCCATATAATGACTACATGTCTGTTAGTAATGTTTAAGAGTTCTCTCCTGCATGTAATTGCTATTTGTACCCAAGGATTCCTTCATACATTTGCACATATCCTTCTAAGATGTTGCTTGAATGATAAAATCCTGTAATACATTATCAGCCATCAATTTCTTGGAATACAGTTGCTGTAATAAAAAAAATAAACTGTAATCACAGAGATATGTCTCGCTTTTTGGTAATTTCGATAATGCAAATGTTGAAATTAAAATAGCAACACTTTAACATGTAAGATTTGCAAATATTCAAAGTCAATGAACCATGACTGAAGGTACATGGCTAAACAATCTCCATGGAAATTAGATGTGCCAATGCTAATACAACGCATACCAAATACCATGGACTTATCATAAGTAGTTCCCTTTAAAAAACCTAAACACAAACTAATACATGTAAACTAAGAAAATTTTATAAAGTCAATAAACGATAACTGAGGGGGCGGGGTCAAATAATCTCCATGGTAATGAGATGTGCTAATGCTAATACAATTGCATACCAAATTTCATTGACTTACCACTAGTGGTTTCCCATGAGCCGACCTAGTCACAAACTAATACATGAAAACTAAGCAAAAATTTAGAAGTCAATAGACCAAGACTGAGAGGGTGGGGCCAAATAATCTCCATGGAAATGATATATGCCAATGCTTATACAACTGCATACCAATCATAATTAACTTACCACTAGTGGTTCTCCATAAACTGACCTAATCACAAACTAATACATGAAGACTAAGCAAAAGTTTCAAAGTCAATAGACCATAACTGAGGGGGCGGGGCCAAATAATCTCCATGGTAATGAGATGTGCCAATACTAATACAACTGCATACCAAATATCTTCGACTTACCACTTGTGGTTCACTATAAAGTAAACCTAATCACAAACTAATACATTATTGACGCCGCCGTCGTCACCAACACGAGAAACAGCATACCTATATCTCGCTTTTTTACTCCATCAAGCGAGACAAAAACAGCATATATTTTTTTGTAAAACATACATCAAATATTGGCTTACCAATCAGAGAAAATGATAACATCAATTTAATCTCCAATGATTTACCAAACTTACATATATATTATATATATATATATTGTGTGAACAACTGGAGTGGAATATGATAGTTGTTGTTTATCATATTTATTTTTTTGTTTAATGTCTTTTACGTAAATTGGAATTGTTTTACATCTGTCATTTCAGGACCTTTTATAGCTTGCTAGATGCAGTATCAGTTTTGCTCATTGTTGAAAGCTGTTCATACAGTGATCTATAGTTGCTAACATTCAGTCATTTGGACTCTGGTGGATAGTTGTCTCATTGGCAATAATACTACATATTCTCATTTTTATCAAAAAAAATTAATAATGAAAACTAACTCTATTCATGCATGTGTACTACACATTACCTGTATATATAATATATACTAGAATACTCCCGGGACATCATGGGGTTGTGACTGAAGCAAAGTACCTTAGCCTTATTTTTAGCCTGGATTTTAAGTTTTCGTTTTGTCATCTAATAATGTCATGCTGGTCATTAGGTGCACAGTTTTCTCTGCTTTTAAAATCTTTCTTTTTGAACCCTTCGACCCAGAACTTGTTAATTATCTGTAGTAATAATCATGTGGAAAACAAATGGGCCTGGAATGGTGTAATTTTTAATCAACACCATTGTCCTATATATATACGTTATATATAAAGTTGAATTCTTTGAATCGTCATTTTTATGTCATGCCGGCTCACAAATTGGACCTTGTTATTTTAATATTATAGATCTAGATTACTAAGTGCCTATAGAAACACATTTCCTCATTTTTCAAGCCCCTTTCTTACATGTCTTAACCTCATTTAAATTACAATACCAACTAAAGGCTCCAAGATGCCTATGTCGCTCACCAGATATTTTTTAAATTTTACAATTGATGCATGAAATAATGCAACCGTTATACTTTTGCTTTAGTTTCAAAGATATAAGTCAAAAACTGCATTCTTCCCCCTATGTTCTATTTTTAAACTAGATACCCTAATGCTTATTATGGCCAAGTTTGGTTAAATTTGTCTCAGTTGTTTCAGGAGAAGACTTTTGTAAAAGATTACAAAAATTTACGAAAAATTGTTAAATTTGACTTTAAATGCAATAACTCCTTATGGGGTCAATTGACCATTTTGATCCTGTTGACTTATTTGTGAATCTTATTTTGCTAAACATTATTGCTGTTTACAGTTTATCTCTATCTATTATAATGTTCAAGATAAAAACCAAAAACTGCAAAATTTCCTTAAAATTACCAATTCAGGGGTAGCAACCCAACAACGGGTTGTCTGATGCGTATGAAAATTTCAGCACAGATAATTCTTCACCTGATGAACATTTTTAACCCTGTCAGATTTGCTCTAAATGCTTTGGTTTCAGTGACATGAGAGATATAAGCCAAAAACTGCATTTTACCCCATGTTCTATTTTAAGCAATAGCAGCCATCTTGGTTGATGGGCAGGGTCATCAGAAACATTTTTTAAACTAGATACCATAAGAATGATTTAGGCCAAGTTTGGTTATATTTAGCCCAGTAGTTTCAGAGGAGAAGATTTTTGTAAAAGTTAATGGACAACGAAGATGACGGTGACAGACGACGGCAGACGTCAAGTGATGAGAAAAGCTCACTTTGCCCTATTGGGCCAGGTGAGCTAAAAATGGTATGTCTATAGCTCTATGCATTCTGTAAACATCTAGTTACAAAATTTCTATAGGGGTATAAATTGTTTATCTGCACTACTTTTTGATTACCTCTGCTGTGGAGGTTCATTATGGTTGAAATTTGCTATGGAAGCTGGAATTTGTAAACATTTCAGATGAAAATCAAAATGTTCTGAAACTTTTTGGTAATGTTGCAGTTGTTTGTATATACATTTATTAATTATAATAGAAGAACATAGTTCCAATGTCCCCATTATTGATCGTCCTGAATATGCATGAAATATATGCCACTGGACATTAAGCAACCAAAAATCAATCAATCAATCCCCATTATTGCACATATTTTTTCTATTCAAAGTATAAGGGCAATAACTAAAAAGAGCACTTTTTTTATGTTAAAATCCAGCAGCTACCACCATTGACCTCCCTTTTTGTCGAGCCTTCGACTTTTGTTGAAAAAGTGAGACATAGCGATCCTACATTCCGTCGTCTGCGGCGTCCACAAATATTCACTCTGTGGTTAAAGTTTTTGAAATTTTAATAACTTTCTTAAACTATGATCCTGGATTTCTACCAAACTTGGACAGAAGCTTGTTTATGATCATAAGAAAGTATCCAGAAGTAAATTTTGTAAAAAAAAAAATCCTGTTTTTCCATATTTTACTTATAAATGGACTTAGTTTTTATGCCAAGAAACATTACATTCACTCTGTGGTTAAATTTTTTAAAATATTAATAACTTTCTTAAACTATCCTGGATGTTTACCAAACTTGGACAGAAGCTTGTTTATGATCAAAAGCTAGTATCTAGAAGGAAATTTTGTTCAAATTGTGTACCTGTTCATCGGTACTTTACTTATAAATGGACTTTTTTTCTTCCAGTTAACATTACATACAGTCTGCAGTTAAAGATTTAAAACATTTATTTGATCCTGGATTTTTACCAAACTTGGACAGAAGCTTCTTACAATCAAAAGATAGTTTTGAAAGGAATATTTTTATTAATTTCTTTCCTCATTTTTGTTGAGCCTACGATTAACAGCAAAAGTAGGCGAGACACTGGGTTCTGCGGAACCCTTACAAATTTTTTGAAATTGCCTTGGAATTCAGTACTTTTGTTATACCATTTGGAAATTAAATACTGTATTAAACAAATACATACCAGTTACATTTATATATACTGTAGCTATAGGATCTCCTCAATATCTAATCCTGTTGTTAATTTCATTTAAACATATAATGTATATAGCTTCCCTTCCACTTACATCTGAGGAGCTAATTCTGAAAATTAAAATTCCTGTGATTATCATATAAAATCTGAACCTGATGCACTGCTTTCCAATACAAATAAATTGGCAATACAGTTCTCCCTTGGTAAAGAGAGAGAAAACACGTGATATTTTTATATTATAACCAATACTGCACATGGTAATTGGAACATCACTAGTTTTTTGGATTGGATTGTTGCTCACTTTGTCAGGATCTTTTATAGCTGACTTTATAGTATGGTTTTGTTCATTGTTGAAGGTCATACAGTGACCTAAAAATTTTTACATCCTCTTCGACAAATGGAAAGTTTTCTCATTGACAATCCTACCATACATTGTAAGACCTTATTTCTAAAATACTAAAAATTTCAATCTGTGACAATAACATTTTATTAATTTAATAAGGTAATCTGATCAACATATGAAGCAATGTTCAAAACACTCTGTCATTGTCTGACAGCGATCAAAGTAATTTTAACTCCTATGACATGTACAATGATGTATATATGTGCAAGACTCAAAACTTAATCACAATTTAAATTCATACATATATCCATATACATTTACAAGGTACTTAATAAATCAGTGAGACTGACGCATAAAATGTAGGTAAAAAAATATACTTTTTGTTTGATCCTGCATCATAATTATTACAAGTTAAAAGTCATAATCATTGAGTACATGTACATTATATCTGAACTTAAAGTAAAGGATAATCTGAGTAGTCTCTAATCAGTAATGAAGCCACACAACACTGTGTGACAACAGTGACATATAAGTCTCCCATAGATGCACATACTATTACTTTAGGTCTTTTGTATATATATGTTTAAGGTTACTTAGAATTGGCTGTTGACATACATGTACACATGAACTGTCAGGCATGGAGTCATTGGGCCCTAGGTTACTCAAGTCCATTATCAGTCACTATCAATAGTCAACTCCTCTGTCCATTTGTTGTAATACAATGTACTGCTGAAAGGGAGAAAACAGTACTTTATTAATAGCATGTGGATGCAAGACTATAAGGCAGATTCCATATAAAAAAGTGAAACAACTCCCATAAGTACGTTAGGCAAAAATCATAAGCAATGAACTTCTGTTTTTGAATACATGCTTTACTAATAAAGATAATGACAATTTGACCAAAAAAAAAATTATGAGCATCATCCTTTTTAAATAAACGAAGCCGTAAATATTATGTTTCTGACATAAGATTTGACAGACTTTATTGTTTCTGACATAAGATTTGACAGACTTTATTTTTTCTGACATAAGATTTGAGACTTTATTATTTCTGACATAAGATTTGACAGACTTTATTTTTTCTGACATAAGATTTGACAGACTTTATTATTTCTGACATAAGATTTGACAGACAAATTGAGTTTCTGACATAAGATTTTGACAGACTTGATTCTGACATAAGATATTTTGACAGACAATATATAATTGTTTTTTTTGACTGACATTGGAAATCAAATCCTAGTTGAAAGTCATTTTTTAAAACTCCTGGAAAATACTGCAGCCTAACATCTATCAAGATTTCACTACAGGTCAAAGAACTTTAACTGTTAGCACATTCAAATGTTTCAGACATAAGAAAACAAGTTTGACAGATCTTATGTAGGAAACATATAAGTTAAAACTATTGCTTGAATAAAGTTAAATGAAAGAATCAACATGTGTTTTTTCATATGCACAGCATGACTTAATTACAGTTTTAACTGGCATATATTGGAACCTACAATGATTTTGAAAGTTTTTACATGTTCCTGACATAAGATTTATTGACAGACACTGAGCTATAAAGCAAGATATTATAAAGTGAAAAAAAATATATATCACAGATGTTTTTGACTAAAAAAAGTAACAAATTTAGGAACAGGGATGTTTGAATAACCAGACTACACTAGTAAATACCAGTATACAAGTGTCAACATAAAGCATTGCAACACATAAACATTGTGTAAAAAAATGGGAGTTAATTCTGTCAAAATGTTTGCATTTTTTCAACTTGTTTTAATCATTTCTACTTTAAACGGAAACAATCATATCCAACAATTATTTTTATAATTTCTTCTAACATCATTATTCCTAAAAACATTCACAGATTATCTTTAAAATATCAGTAATTATTATTTTTATTTATTTATTCATTTTGACAGACATTTCAATTTCTTATATGGAATCTGCCATAATAAGTATTCAAAGAGTTTTGCAAACAATTAGCTTATACATTTAGGAGATATCTGTATTTACCTGGCGATGTGACAGTAAAATCAAGTTTAACCAAGGCCAAGCTTAAAATACAATACAGTTATCTACATTCTAATGCAGCATATTAAAATAAATACCATTTAACAAATATTTTGGCGTAAAATGAAATAAATGAAAAAGTCTGCGAAACTGTTGCATTGTCTTTAGCAACTAAACAATGTGACATCATATGTATGCCCCCGCTTGCATATCATATAGTTATAAAGGGACATAACTGAAGAACGGTAAAAGTGACGCTACCAATAAATTTTGTGGTAATAAGCATTGTATGTAAGTCTCATAACATTTGGTTGAGGCTAACTTAAGTAGAGAACAGAAACTAAAAATTCATCAATTTTTCTATTTGTAAACACGCATAACTCTAGAACGGTTGTGTATAAGTTTTATAACATTTGGTTGAGACAAACTAAAGTTAGAGAACAGAAACGAAAAATTCAGCAATTTTTATGTTTATAAAGGGACAAAACTAAAGAATGGTAAAAGTGTCACCACCAAATTTCGTACTTAATCTGTATTATGTAGTAAAAAGCATTGTGTATAAGTTTCATAACACTTGGTTGAGGCAAACTAAAGTTAGAAAACGGAAACAAAATATTTGTACTTGATCTTAGTTGTGTTAATGAATATTGTGTATAGGTTTCATGTTTGGTTGGGGCAAACTTAAGTTACAAAATGGAAACTAAAAATTTTGCAATCTTTCGATTTATAAAGGGGCATAACTCAATAATTCCTAAAATTTTGAGGCAAATATTATAATTTTCATTTGATATCAATATTTGGGCTTCAAAAATTACTCTGTCTTATATTTTAAAAGGATTTGAAAAATAACCCCAAGTGAAACATAGTTTGGACATCTGATTGTGACACACCCGGATAACAAAATCAATATTAATATCAATAAAAACAATATTCAGTGAATGACTGAAGGATTGGGACCAAATAATCTCTATGGAAATGAGAAGTGCATATATCCTACTATAACTGCACACCAAATATTAAATATTATTGACTTTATATATATAATTACCATAAGTTATTTCTTGGTTTCCTTAAACTGACCTCATCACGAATATCAACAATTTTTTTACGACTATGCCTCTATTGAAAACAGCATGCCTAAGCCACAGCTTCATAACAGTTGTGGCTAGACAAAAAAGAACAAGCAATGTAGCGATTAAGAGAGCTTTGAATGCAATTTTCTATAAAAATGACCTGTAAAAAAATTAAATTTGTCACTTCTAACATGGATAATTTTCAAACTTGCCCACAACAAGAATCAAACTTTAAACTCTATGACCTCAAACTTTTAAAAAAATCTTCGAAACTATATGTACAGAGTCTGACAAGAAAAAATTATTAAAACATGTCATAGTTATCATTTTCATTACATACCTCTCATCACAAAATTATTCATTGACTACTGCTCCTCATGTGCACATAAATCAATAGGACGATCTATGACTCCACTATATAATCTAGAAAGCAATGCCTCAAATGAATTCTGTTCTGTTGCTTAGCTTCTCCTACTTCTCAAAGTAATTGTACTTTCATTTAAAAAGCTAAAAGAAATAATGTTTAATAAAATGAAGTTATAATACAATGTTTCTGTCAAAATTGCCTTTAATATTTTGATCTGACAAAATTGGCTTGGTTTGATCTTTTAAAACTAGACCAACAAATTTTCCCTGAAAAAAAATGACTATAAAAAAAGTATTTAATCATTTTAATAATGTTCTAATCCATCATATAAATTCCATATGACCCTTAAATGAAGAGATGAACAAAAGTGATTATATATTACAGGATCTCTGAATCTGTCATGATTTATGCCAATCTTTGGGGATTAAGTTATTTTAATAATCATGATACTTTGAAATTTTAAGCTATTCAAAGTTCCACCAAAAGTTGGACTCTTTTACATAAGGTAGTATCTGAGAAATGGACTAAACCAGGCAAGGTTTGGTGGTAAATACATTGTACATGTACCTTGTTTTTGGCTTTGAACTAGGTGTTAGTAACTGGGAGTACTCTCAGATCTGTACTTGGAGTCTTTTTTGTTGTGGGGATGTATAAATAGCCACCACGTCTTGTGTGTGTTTTTGTTAGATGTCTCTCTGCTTTGTATAAATCTGATGAGTTAAGCCCTTTTCACATCAATATCCCAGGTTAGGAGGTGGGTTCGGCACCACAAACTACTAGTCTAGCCCCACCACATCTTGTACATTTGTATGTGCCTGTCCCATGTCAGCAGCCTGTAATTCAGTGGTTCAGTTTGTCGTTTGTTGCTGTGTATCATATTTTGTTTTTTTTTTGTTCTTTGTTTTATATATAAATTAGTCTGTTAGTTTTCTTGTTTGAATTGTTTTACAAATTTGTCATTTTCATTTGGGGTCTTTTATAGCTGACTATATGGTATGGGGTTTGCTCATTGTTGAAGGATGTACAGTGACCTATAGTTGCTAACTTTGATGTCATTTGATTTCCGATGGAGAGTTGTCTTTTCTCATGAGTGTAAACAATACATATATAAAGAATGTTATCCTGCATTTTTTTCAGTTGAAATATCTGTCCAGCCAGTTCATTTTTCACTCTTTTCGGTCCTGGCTTTTATTTTTTTACTCAAAACTCCTGTCCTGCATTTTTTCAAATTTTGTCAAAGCCCCCTTTCCCATAAAAATCAAATGGTAGCTCCCTAAACAAGAGTAGAGCAATTTTAAAATAATGGGGCGTTTTGCCAATGGCAATGGGGCGAGTTGACTCGAATGACCGAATAATACCGTTATTATCCGAATAACACTTGTAATGACCGAATAACACTTGAAATTTTAATATTAGCACATATTGGTGACTTTTAAACATTGATTATTGACTATTAGTATATTACAAATGTATTTTATAGCTTAAAAATGATATATATATAGAAAGCAGGTAAATTCATAAAGATCATTATAAATATAGTGTGTACATCCAACATGGCAGTGTTGGCAAAAACCCTGGTTTTATGAGTATTGCCCAGCCCAGTGGGAAATACTGGGAAAACCCAGGTTTTACTGGGTAATGCTGGGCAATACTGGGTAATATGAAATACTGGCCTGATTTTTAAAAGGGATTCAGTGATTAATCACAAATGCAATACATTAAAGTCAAAGAATTCAATTTGTTTTTTTTTAATCAATATAACTAAAATTAACAATTGTAAGGAAAGTTACTTTTAAACATTTTTTGTTCATTAATAAAAATGTTTACTTAGTTTTAGCATACATGTATGTTTATGTACATCACTAATTAATAAGTAATTATTCAGATTATCATGATTATAATACAGATTTGTTTATATAACAATAATCACCCTTTTGATTTCTACAAGTGTTCAAGGCCTCTCCCCTTAGGCTATTTATTTAGCAATATAATTGTATAACAATTAAAATTTACAATTCCCTTAATCACTGCAATAAAATGCATTTTTCAACTTTGATTTAATATTGAAACAAAGCCTGGAAATTAACAAGGTATCCTGAAATGTCCAAATCTTGTATTCTGCCTACGTACATGTATATAGAATTAGGAATCTTCAGGAATGACTCTCAATGGTTATCTGAATAAAATGTATGTATTTAGTTATAACAGAGACATATAATACAAGAGATTCGCAACTCGGCGAAATCCCGTAATAACACGCGGCCACTAGTTAAACCTCGCGAGATCTCCTTAGGTAATAAAGTCATTAATAAAAGTATTAAAAGTACTCGAATTAAGGGCGAATGTTTAAGCATAACATAAACTGTTTCAGTGTAAAATTTATCATAATTAATTAAATAATTTGAGTACATATATAATTATTTATTTTAATGTAATTTTAATTTTATATTTGTATTATTGAAAAAGAGACATAATTTGATATTGTATTAACAAAAAACTGATATTAAATAATTAACACTTGATAAATTGTGTCAGAGTTCATTTTATTTGATAGTTACATAATGGGTTTCTATTGAATATACACCTGTCCCGGAGACATAATTTCACAGTGTGACATGTATATTAGGTTTGAATTATTCGATGACCAGGTAAATCACGAACATGTTATAAATAATGAGTTTTAATTGACACCTTGTAAACAAAAAGTTGTCACACCACAGGTGTCCACACTCTTTCCAAAATTACATTTCACAAAATGTAAAATTAATTAATATGGAAAAAAACTTAATTTATTTGTTAATTAATTGTTAATCATGATAGGCTTTGTTTTTTATTCTTGATATTTATAAATTATTAAAATTTTATTTATTTTTATATTCATCATTTATTGGGCTTTCATTGAGTTTATTTTCTGTAGGATTGTCGGTAAATGTTTGATTTCTAAGTGTTGTTTGACAGTTTTATCATTGAGTTGTATTTTTAAATGATTGTCGGTAAATTTATGGTTTCTTCATGTTCGAAGTGTGTATTGAGAATTAATATTTAAGAAAATTACAATTAATTTCTCATTTGAATAAAGCTTCATTCATGTGCACGCAATATGGAAAATTCCGATTTTATTTCGTGGGATGACAATCTTAATAGTTACGACTTAGATATACTCCTAGTTGAATAAACTGATAACGAACTCTTTGTTGATAGTGAAAAGGACGAAAACATAAGCGAGAGACCCACCAACAAAAACAATTGACAATACTGCATACATAGATGGATATGTGTGTGTCCTTTTATTATCAAATATATATATATATATCTTTTGAAATGTCCTCAATACGATTTTAATTTAAAAATGAATTAGGTTCATGTTTTGAATGAGAAGCGAAGTCTGAAACGACAACAGATGCATGAAGCTCATTCATAATATTACGACCAGCAGAAGGTTTCCTTTACTAGGAAAATTTTACTCCTTTTGTAAATTTACTGCATTCGTTCATCTTTGGCACCCTAAAAAGAAGAAAAAAACAATGACTTTAGAATAGGAGAAAATAAACAACTTTGCCATAAACAGAATGAAAAATGAATAAATTGTCTAACAAAATGCAGGCTATAAATTTCATAGTGCACAAAAAAGAAGGACTGATTTAAAGAAATTTGTCCATGAACAATTTCAATATTTAGCCAGTTTAATAAAAAAAAATCGGGTATCAATCAGAAAAAATCGCCACATTGTTGGATTAAATGTTACGAAAATAGTCTTATATTCACGAAACAACATTTGGGTGTACTATTGGCCCATAAAATTATATATTTATTAGCATATTTCCAAGTTTTAAGAACAAAATTGGGAGATCAAATGGTTTCTACGGCAATAGGTGAAGTAAAATGGGCCGAGTTTTAACTTTGTTTGTATTTGATTAATCTCATCATTAGAACACATTTTATCAATAACAAATTATTAGAATTAGTTTTTTGTAACTTTTAATTATACTTGCATGCTTTAGCTGAGAAAGGTATCGGCATTATCCATTAGAAAAATCGTGAGGCGTAGAACCTTTTTCACAACACTATCATTTTACCCATAAATCCATCGGATTAATCGGCTTTCCGGTGGCCACGTCATTTCATTGGCTGTTATATAGACTCTACTAGAGTTGCGAATCTCTTGTATTATATGTCTCTGGTTATAATACTATTAAACTACAACAAGTCTTTACTATTTTGTGCAAAAATAAGCTTGAAAAATCATATTACCCAGTATTGCCCAGTATTACCCGTTTCTAGGAGTATTGCCCAGCCCGAGAAAAACCGGACCCAGGTTTTCCCGCCCGGGTAATACTTTGCCAACCCTGTAACATGGCGACCATTGTGATTTCTTATAATATTATTTTATAATCAATGTTTTTATTAAAAGTCACCAATATGTGCTAATATTAAAATTTCGAGTGTTATTCGGTTAAAAACGGTGTCATTCGTGTTACCCTTGACTTGCTTCCGTTTTTGCCAATCTTTGACTGATTTTCGGGTTTACATGCATGTCATGGATAAAGTCAAATGGTTGTTCGTGAAAAGTATAGCACTAGCATCTTCCTAAATATGTGCATGATTATATTTACCTTTCATTGCGCTTTCCAAGTACAATAAATTGGTACGTAATCCATCAAAACGAAACACTTTTGTTGTGTTGACTTTCTAATGTATTGTTTCGTTCCCCGGATTCTTCCAGTTAATCGACAATGTAACCCATTTCAATATATCTGTTTATAATAACTTTTTGACCCATCAGTTTGAAAAACCAAAGGTCTTTGTATCAACTATCTGACTATCTTTGTCCATTCCTTTTAAGATCTTTTAAACAGTAAAACTTGAATTCAGCAGCAGACGAGCGTCCATGGATTTTGCGTCATAGTATGAAAACGGCAACGGTGAAAAGATTTCCGGGTTTCCGTATTCGACGTGCCAAGCTTGCGTACATTTACGTATATATAATATATGAGAGTTAGTCTGGTATCAAATATGGGGATTTAAATAAGGACAAAAAAATTAGATAGTTGGAAAGCAAAAATATAGAATGAAGGATCATAGAGAATAATTGAGTATATTTAAATTATGAAGAATCATGCAGGGACATTATTCTCAGAGCATATCTGGGACTAGTATAATAGTCCCAGAGCATATAGCGGTCTCTGGAAGAATTGAGAATAAAGAAAAACTAAATAAAGAATATTCAATCATTTATATATTATTTATAACTCATTCACATTTTGTTCCATTCAGAATTAAATAACTCAGTCACTCTGCTGAGGGGAGCCGATGATGGGAAGTTGGGAAAATTGACAAACGAGAATTACTGTAATCAGAGAAGAATTAAATGTTAGACAGTTAGAGTGTAATAAATAAAATATTAACATATATTTTTCAAAATGTTGTCACAGAAAACACAGATTTTTTTTATTACTAATAAGATTCTTCAATTTGAGTATCTATGTCCAACAGATGTCAGTGACTGATTAGAAATTTTACTAATCTGATAGACGTTTAGTTAAGAATCTGTGACAAGTTCTTTTGTAATATTATTAGGAAATTGCCTACCGCCTCCTTGATTTAGAATTGCATACTCTTCAAGGTTGCATGCATTTTGGAGGTTCGTGTTGCACATAGAGGCGGATTTAGAGCACCCTGCCCCTCCCCTTTTTGTGGGAAAAACTTTTGATTTCTTATATCGGGAATCAATGAAGCATGACTAGGGAGGCCCCCTCTTTAGCAGTCAGTGGGCCCCCTTATGAAATTTTCTGGATCCGTCACTGGAACAATCTTTAGTTTTTGTGTAATGTTAAGCCCAACGGTTACTGTTGTTTTTATCTTTCAATCTTTTAACTTTTCTCATTTTATTGGATTTATGGTTATAAATTACCACTTTAATTGGTATCCTCTTTCGATTTCACGGTTAACAACATACCCACAGCTAAAGCCATGTACTGTAAAAAAATCATCTTCCCGAAAAATAGTTTTATTTTCACCTGCAGGCCGGAGATTTCTGTCCAGAATTTCATACTAAGGTTGTTTGGGTATCACAGTTTAAAAATGTTATCACCGTTGATCCAATAAACAAATCCTTGGTTGATCTATTCTTAAACTACTTCTTTCCAGTAGTACCCTCACAATGGTATTAATGACATTAATGCCTCCAACCTGGGACTATTAATCGAGACTATTATACTTAGTATAAAATAGTATAATAGTCCCAGCTCCAACATTGATATTTATGTTCCCCTTATAAATAGAATAGAGAAATTGAGGACATTTGTTCCACATTTTATGAACTTTGAAAGAACACAAGCACGTGTAACTTTTGACACCACCTGCAGGCAAGTGCCTGCAGGCCACTGAGGTGGTGGTAAGTTTATAACAGTAAACCAGAGGCGGATTTAGAGGGTTTTTCAGGGGTCCCGGGCCCCCTTTTGTGGGAAAAGTTTGATTGATTATATAGGGAATCGCTGAAGCATGACTGGAGCGGGCCCCCTCTTAGGCAGTCATTGCCCCCCCCCCCCCCCCCCCTTATGAAAATTTCTGGATCCGCCACTGTAAACCCCTCTCAACCCACCAAATGCTTGCTTGAAACACAAGTAAAATATAAGCAGGTAATTATGTCCTTTGCTTTTATTCCACACCAAAGATGAAGAAATGTATGATAAAGTTATAATAATATATTATTCTGTACATTGTATAAGGGACGAAGTATGTAGTGACTATTGTTTGTCGTGATTAAACACGATAATAGTGTTGCTTTCCCCTTAATCTTATGAACCGTATTGAACAGGACAGACTACCTCAAACACTCTGAAACTTTTCAAGTACTTTCTATATGCTCATGTGTATTATCTTGTTAGCATAGTTTTGTACTTGGACAGATAATCAGAATGGTCAACAATCAAGTATTGACAATGTTAATTGGTCACGTTTGTTTGAACTACCAAAACTGGCAAAAGGTAATTTTTAATTTAGCCTTGTACAATCCAATGTCAATATTACATACACAATCAGTCATTTTTGTAACACAAGGGTTACAAATAAGAAAATCCTAAATAAAATATGCAAATGTATAATTTAGTTCCATAACCTGATAACTCTATGAAGCACCTCAGACTTAAATATATCTACTTGTATCTGTCTGTCTTTTGTCCAAGATAGTTGGCAGATACATAGGAATAATAAGAGATGTAAGGTTATTGTAACACACCTTTGAGAAAGTTATTCAATAACAATAACAACAAAAACACAACACTGTTGAACACATATAGATATTCCAAGTTCTAAGTAATTTTTTTTCAAAGTGGTGAAGATCAAAAGATCTGCCATTGACACCAAATTCTCCCAATAATGCATACTTCTTTAACCTGTGTATATGTATTAAAAGAAATACCAATGAAAATCTTATTTAAAATAAATGTTTAAAGATTATACTTTTAATTGTTCAAATAAGAAGGGACGGGGGATGATTCAAAGAATCAAAAAATCCCCTGGCCTACTCCTTTTAGGAATTATATATATATATATATTTAGAGAAACAGAGAGAGAGAGACTTTTTACAAGTCTAATTTCACTCTTTTTCAGGATCCTGGACCCATATCTGACAATTATTGCAACTTTATTTACTTTGCCTTTTTTTCCTGCGATTATTTTCCTAAGCTGATTGGATAAAATACCATTTATTATGGTGACAAATTATTTAAGGATAATCAGAGGCTGATCAAGCCATTTTTAAAAGGGGGAGGGTCCCAACACAGGATAAAAGGGGGGTTCCAATTATATTTCCCCATTTAAATGCATTGATCATTTAAAAATAGGGGGGTTTCATGTGAAAATAAATTTTTTAAAAGTAAAATAAGATTTTCAATGGAATATATGTCTTACAAGGTATTAGATGTTAATAAACAAGTTTTAATTTTGATTTTAATTTTTTTCAACTTGGACACAATTAACTTTTTTTTCATGTGAATTTCACATGAAAAATTTAACGTAAAATTCACATGAAAAATTTAACTTGAATTCACATCAACAAAATTTGCCTGTGTAACACATGCGTTACACATGCGTTTGACTATACATGTGTTACACATGCAAATATCGCATGTGTCACATGCGTTTTCCAACACATGCGTGACACAGGTGTTTTTCTGACACATGCGATTCACATGCGTGTGTAACGCATGTGAACGCATGTGTACCACGCATGATTCACATGCGTGGCAAGAAACATGTGTATTACGCATGTGACACACCTGTGACACATGCGTTTTTAGGTACATGCGTGACACATGTGTGGCATTTTTGCCCTAGTAGAGCAGACAACAGCCGAAGGCCTAAGCATATTTACATCTCAGTACAGTTTAGTTACGAATTAATAGAATTTATTAATTACCTTTTAAAGTACTTGATTACCTTCCGCCTGCCTATTTGCCATCGGTTTCATGACAAAAAAGTGTGTTCGTAAAATACGTCCTTCGAATTCTTTAAAGATTTTATTTGATAATAAGATGTATTAAATAAGAAAGATTGTGTTTTTTATTTAAGTTTTATCTCATTTATCGGATTATTTTATATCATAGCGATTAAGAGCAACGCAGATGTATTGTTTTTATTTTTGTCCTTTCTGATCGTAGCATTAAATAAGTAATACAACAATAATTTACAGGAAAAAGACATAAACGATAGCAGTTTACTGCCCCACATGAAATTTCGACCATTACTGTATATTTTTTTATCATTGAGGACAAAATAATTAAAAGTCCAAAACTTATACAAACTCTAAAGAGCTAATTTAACAAAAAAGGGTCAAATGTAAAGCAGAACTGGGCAAAGAATCAAAGCTATGAGTAGCTCTTCAAGTGTTTTAATACTTTTTCACACTTGGGTTCAAATATTTTGCTTTGACCATTCTTGATGAGGGTTAATCCGGAAAAAAACGCTTCGGACACATACAATTTATAAAGTGTTATGTTTAGAATTACACAAAATAAGGGCGACAAAATATATATATTCTTCATTTTAAACACTTATTTCTCGACAATCTGTCCACAGAAATTGAATTAGAATCGGTATGTTATTACTGTATATTCAGAAATTATTGCGAGGTTTTTATTAATACGAATAATGCGACTGGGTGAGTATCGCAATAATAAGAACTCGCAATCTGAAATCTAATACGTATATCTGTATGCAGATTTCCCTGAAATCGCAATATTTAATCTCGCATTTATGTCCATTCTTTAAAAATCGCAATAATAAATGCACGCAATAATTTCTGAATTTGCAGTATTGTTTTCCGATTCACTGATATGAAAATGAAAGGGGTTACCGGATTCGTTTTTTCAGCGGATACAAATCAGTCTCGATATAAAACGTGAAAAGCGGCCCAAACGACAAAACAGTCGGCTGTTTGTTTGCCGATACTATGTGTCTATATCTCAATTCAATAGCAACATGACAGCGTATGGATTCACAAGGCAGGTGATGCATGCGTAGCAGAAGACGCCTCGAACATTTGGCCTTTCATAGCTTTTATGAAGTTTTTTTGTGTACCCTCGTGTTCATATCTTTCTTATTTTGTACTTTATCGGTGTGTATATGTTTTTATGTTTTACCATACTGCATCATACTGTAGATTTATTATTATTCGTGGAACATCAACTTTTGTTGATTTCGTGGGTACGAGCGAACCTCGAAATTAAATGTTCAACGAAGTACACATTTTTTTAAGATTTGTTTGCAGACTTTTGTAAAACCACGAAATAAAGTATCCACAAAAATATAATTTGTCCTTAATCCACGAAAATTGGATCCCACGAAAACAAACGAATCCACAGTACTAGTTGAATTATACTATCAACTACAAAATTTGACATTGTTCTATATCGATGAGGTATGTTTACACAATTTTGGGTACTGGATTCCAATTACTTTTTATGTTAACTTATTATGTCTGCTTGAGTTGCTCACACAATTTTGTCAATATAAGGGAACTACATACAACCGTGTTATAAGTCGGAGGTTTGTCTGGCTGTAAAACTAGGGCAAACCACCTTTTTGTCTGTGAACAGTGTCTATTTCCCAATCGTTCAGATGGTTTATATACTCGAGCATTTGGTTTTGTTATATTTTATGGACTCCCCCCATAAGGATTTACCTTAGAGACTTGTAATGATTTTTACATTTATATTTATTCTTCCATTCACTCCATTTATAGTCATATGTTTCCTCAAGTATATTAACCTTGATTTGTAT